GTTAGTACGTGTTTAAAAGAAAGGCTAAGATTCATATCCAGTAATTGGAAAAAAATAACTCAAATTTTAAGTGAAACTGATATTACTCTTTGAAGAGGAAAAAAATCACTGCTATATGGATAATCTGGACAGTATTTCTCAAAAGTGGAATTTATTTTCAGTTTATGTCATGTTTGTGTTACTATATCATGTGTCGTATGAAAGGGTGATAGATAAAAGAGCGTGACAACGGAATTTATGAAAGAGGAAAAATAAAAGAAGCGGTAATCAGGAAATTCTTTTTCTATATCACTGTCCTTATAAGGCAGGTTAGGAAATGGATGATCAAATATAGTTCAATGGGTATAGAAGCAAAGAGATTAATATAAATTTCAGTAAAATAAAAATTGAAATAATTCCTGGTGGTTGCCAAAAAAAAGGGTATGCTTTTCCACTGGGAGTTTGGGGTTACATGGGGGAAGTGAAAAAGAAAAAAAAGAAAAGAAAAAGAAAGAGCTGGCCAAAAGAAAAATACTATTGCTGCATATGAGGGATTTTTTTTCTCTTCCTTCCAATCATGAATGGAAGCACATAGTTTTTTAAGACGTTGAAGTATTGGTTTGTACAGTGATAGAATTGGAAAATCATTCATGCCAATTTCAATAAAGATGTTCATGTGGCAACCATGACTCTAGGTATGATGTTGAAAAGGGTTTATATGGAATCATCGAATATTGAAAATCAAATAAATTTAATAATCTTGTCCAACCACTTAGTTTTATAGATGTAGAAGCTGAAATCATTCTTATTATAAAAACTACACATTTATTTAATCCTATTACACACAAAGCACTGAAAGGTTATACAGAAAGCCAGATCCAATTTCCTTGTCTCATATCTTGCTCTAGTGCACAAATCAGTATGGTACCAAGATGAGGGATTAATCAAGGAAAAGAGTTGAATATAGAACCATTCAGCCTCAGAGTTCTAAATTAGAATGTTAGTGTTATGCTGTGAAACACTTTTAATTTCCCCTCAGCATCAGTTACTGTTAGAATAAGTTTGAGTCTGAGAATGGCTACATTTTGTCGAGGTTAAGTGACTTGCTCCAAGCATACAGTACTCAGCTAGAAGATCTAGGTATAAAACTCCTATCCCTCATCTCTAGACCAGTTCTTTTTATTTTACACCATGCTGCCTTTTAGGATAAATTAGTGTTAGTGTATTTTTTAAAAATATATTGTATAATAGCTCAGAAATGTTAGGTGCTAGGCAGAATATACTATGGAATAGTGATCTTAAACTCATTGTAAATAAGCATAAATATATTAAAAATTTTAAAGTTCTCAGGGAGAAGAACTTCCCCAGAACTGCAGTAAGTCACATTTGCCTCCTTTTTCTTGTTTCCCACATTTGAATCAGTTATCACCTTCTGAGCGTCTATGTCTGCTACACCCACCTATCTTGTCTTCTTTATTCTATTTCATCACCACCACCTTAATTTAACCCTCACTTTGTGTAACTCAGAGCAGGGCAATGGCCTCCTGGTTAGTTGTTACATGTCTAGTCTTTGGCCTCTGTCTTTATATGCAGCTGCTATAGGAATGATCTCAATGTCCAACTCTTGTCATGCCATCCTCTGGCCCCAAAGCTTTCAACAGTTCCTTGCTCCTTGGGGATTATTACACCAAAGGCTAGTCTTCAAGACACACACATTTTCCGAATTTATCTTTCATCATTACATATATCCAATGCTCCCAGGCAAACTGTCCTCTGAACAGCCATTATAGTCCCCTCCCTCCATAGCTTTGCTTACTGCTGAGAATGTCATTTCCCACAGATCCATGTGCCAATATCTTAACCTTATATAATGCTAGCTTCTTTTCTCAATCTTTCTTATTCTTCTCGTCAGTAGTGACTTCTCTGTTGACACTCTACAGCATGTTAGAATTTTCTTTTTATATTCCACTTTTTAGTAGAGATATTGTGAATTTGACTCACCCCTTTAGAAGGTCCCTAAAGATATTTTAAACTCAATTTGAATTTCTCGCCATATGCCATGCAGTCTGGGACTAGCAGATGGTAGGCAATCAGCACATTTTTGTTGTGTATAGATTTAACGAAAAATTTAGAATGAATAAATATAACCAAAGTTGTGTTTGCTAGACCAAAGAAGAACTGTTTATTAGAAAATAAACATGCCACAAGACCTAAGATCTAAGATCAGAAGAAGTTACTTCTGTTACAAACACCTGGGTACGCCCAAAGCCAGAAACTTAATAGCTGAGCTGATGTTATGAGTCCTGGGTCTTCATTCACAGCTGGG